AAAGACCTCAGTGTGAGACAGGAATCCATCAAAATCCTAGAGGAGAACACAGGCAGCAACCTCTTTGACCTCGGCCACAGTAACTTCTTGCTAGACATGTCTCCAAAGGCAACAAAAGCAAAAATGAACTATTGCAACTTCATCAAGATAAAAAACTTCTGCACAGCAAAGGAAACAGTCAACAAAACTAAAAGGCAACCTACAGAATGGGAAAAGATATTTGCAAATGACATATCAGATAAAGGGCTAGTATCCAAGATCTATAAAGAACTTATCAAATTCAACACCCCAAAAACAAATAATCCAGTCAAGAAATTGACAGAAGTCATGAACTGACATTTCTCCAAAGAAGACATACAAATGGCCAACAGACACATGAAAAAATGCTCAACATCACTTATCATCAGGGAAACACAAATCAAAACTACAATGAGATACCACCTCTTACCAATCAGAATGGCTAAAATTAACATGATAGGAAACAACAAATGTTGGTGAGGATGTGGAGAAAGGGGAACTCTCTTACACTATTGTTGGGAATGCAAGCTGGTACAGCCACTCTGGAAAACAGTATGGAGGTTCCTCAAAAAGTTAAATATAGAGTTACCCTACAACTCAGCAATTGTATTACTAAGTATTTACCCCAAAGATACAGATGTAGTGAAATGAAGGGGCACCTGCACCCCAATGTTCACAGCAGCAATATTCACAATAGCCAAACTCTGGAAGGAGCTGAGATGTCCTTCGACAGGTGAATGGATAAAGAAAAAGTATATATATATATATATATATACACACACACAATGGAATATTACTTAGCCACAGAAATGATGAATACTTACTGTTTACATGGACATAGATGGAACTGGAGGATATTATGCTAAGTGAAATAAATCAATCAGAGAAAGACAATTATCATATGGTTTCACTCATATGTGGAATATAAGAAATAGTGCAGAAGACCATAGGGAAGGGAGGGAAAAGTGTATGGGAAGAAATCAGAGAGGGAGACAAACCATGAGAGACTCTTAACTATGGGAAACAAACTGAGGGTTGTTGAAGGAGAGGTGAGTGGGTGGATGGGGTACTTGGGTGATGGGCATTAAGGAGGGCACTGGATGTGATGAGCAGTGGGTGTTATATGCAACTGATGAATTGTTGAATACTACATCTGAAACTAAGGCTGTACTATGTGTTGGTTAGTTTAATTTCAATAATAAAAAAAAGTATTGCAAGGTGTGGGGTGAGGGGGGCACCTGGGTGGCTCAGTTGGTTAAGCATCTGCATTTGGCTCAGGTCTTGATCTCAGGGTCCTGGATCAAGCCCTGCATCAGGCTTTCTGCTCAGTGGCAAGTCTGCTTCTCCCTCTCCCTCTGTGATCTCTCTCACTTTCGCTCTCTCAAATAAGTAAATAAAAATCTTTTAAAAATAAATAAATAAACAAAACAAAAAACTGTGTTCAATATCATTAGTAATTAGACAAATACAAATTAAAAACTGTGATAAAATACCATTACAAAACCATAATGGATAATTAAAAAAAAAAGGTGAAAATACTGAGTATGGATGAAGATATAAAGTGGATGGAAGTATAAAAGTATAAATTTCTAGAACTCCTTTGGAACAATATTTGATAGTACCTACTAAAAGGAAAACACATGTATACCGTATAACCCAATAATTTCACTATTGGGTATCTATCCCAAAAAAAAGTGAATAATAATATGCACCAAAAAACCCATGGACAAAATGTTTATATAAGTTTTACTCATAAATAGATGTAAACTGAAAATAAATGAAATGTTCATCAATAATAGAATAGGTAAATACATTATATTGTCTACATACAGTAGAATACTGCATAGGTGTTAACAAAAATAAACTTTCCATGCAACATGAATGAATCTCATAGGCATAATACTAAGGGGAAGAGGTTAAACACCAAAAATACATATTCTACCCATATGAAATTTCAAATTGATAAAATTAACCCCCAGTTATGGAAATCAGAATGGTTTTTACTCTTGGGACTTACTGACTGAACAGAGGAATGAAGGATCCTCTTGGTTGTTCTGGTTGTGGTTGAACACGTATATACATATTCATAAATTTATCAATTTGTATACTTAAAATTTATGGACTTTAGTAAATGCAATTTTTACTTTAGTAATTTTTTTTAAATTGACAAATTCACAGAGGCAAAGAAGAAAAAAAGACTGATGATATATTCCTTATAGAATTTAGTCTTATGACTTTTTTGGTTCAGGCAAAGGAGGGACCTCATGTAAATGCTTTCTGGGAGGGTCTTGGTCTAACCAGTTAATATGTGAGAATGTCTTCCCAAGGGCATACTAGAAGGCAATAATCAATCCTCAGTCTTCTCCTTCATTCTTGATCTTTCCTCCTGCTAAATATTAACTTGCAAATATCCGTGTTCTGCTCATATATTAAGATGAAATACAATCGAAAAACAGAAATGTAAGGAAAATAAATTTAAATAATCAGTGCATCAAGTTTCTGGTATTATTATCTGAAAATATTTTGAGTTTTGGCTTAGAATTGCCTATTGCATGTGAAATAATTGTGATAAATAAGTACTGATACTGAAGTCAGTGAAGTGATATTTCTGCTGCTCCCATAATACTTCTGTTCAGAAAAGCTGCCCTTCCCTGAGTATATGCATCTATAATTCCTTGGTTAAAATGACCTATTTGGTTTCTAGGTTTGCAGTCCCTCAAGCAATGGAAAATCATTCAGACCATTCTGGAGGTTTAGCTCTGGTCCAGGCCCTGGGACCAATCTTGTTCTAATTCTCTAGTGAAGATGCTTCAGTCTGGGTCTCCAAAGCCTCTCACCCTGGACCCACTTATTTTAACACCCCTACAACCTCTACTCACCTCTGAGTCATGATCTCCAATTCTAACCTCTATGTCTGCACCTTTGTGCAGGATTACTTCTGCAGGATTCCCTGTTTGCGCAAATCTCTGCCTATTGCCTGTTATTTTCATCCCTTCAATATGACCCTCGAACTCTATCTCTGAGGACTAGTCCAGACCCCAAAGTCTGTACTTCATAATAATTCTTGGCCAACAGAGATACCTTCATAATGACCTGGATTCAATCCTCATTCAAAAATGCTTAACACACTACTGCTGCCCAAGTGTTAACCTTTACTTTCATGTTTTGATTCAGTTGCTCCAAGTGTATGCTTGACCCCTCTTAAATAAACAAAGGTATTGGGGCGCCTGGGTGGCTCAGTTGGTTAAGCGACTGCCTTCGGCTCAGGTCATGATCCTGGAGTCCCAGGATCGAGTCCCGCATCAGACTCCCTGCTCGGGGAGTCTGCTTCTCCCTCTGACCCTCTTCCCTCTCGTGCTCTCTATCTCTCATTCTCTCTCTCTCTCAAATAAATAAATAAATAAATAAATCTTTAAAAAAAAATAAAAATAAAAAATAAACAAAGGTATCCTCCTATTTTCCTTATAGCCTATGTTCTCTGAGGAGATTTTGGTGGAGTGTGCATATTTTACCTGTTCATAAACCTCAAGCCAAAACTAGGACTCAAAGAGCTGAGGTTTCTATTTTAGCACTTACCCTCCAGCTTAGCTGTCCTTAACTTTGAGTTTGTCCTTAGTTTGCCCTTAACTCTGCTAAGTAAAATAAGTCAAAGAAGGACAAATACCTCATTATCTCACTTTTATGTAAATCTAAAAACCAAAACAAACAAAACAAAACCCAAAGTCATAGATACAGAGAACAGATTGGTGGTTGCCAGAGGGGAGGTGGTGAGGGGTAGCTTGGGAGGGTGAAATGGGTGAAGGAGAGTAAGAAGTACAAATTTCCAGATATAAAATAAATAAGTCTGAGGGAATACAGTTAACATATTGTATTAACTTTGTAAGATGACTTATTGTAGTGACCATTTTACAATGTATACAAATCACTATGTTGTACACCTGAAACCAATATAATATTGTATGTCAATTATATATCAATAAATAAATGGAAGATATTTAACACAGAGCCACCAAGGAGCTTTAGCTAGTTATTAATAAATTATATGCTACTGAAAAAAAAATCAAACTTCTTTGGAGGAGCCAAAAATGCTAGGGTAACTATAATCCCCATTGACACTAATTGTCTTGTAATCATTCTCAAGAGTTGCGATAGTTATTTGGTGATTGTTTTCAATTCTTGCATAGGATACAAATCCTAGGATTAAATCATCACTACAAAGGATTGTATCAAATTCATTATGCATCTTATGTCATAAAATAATGATTTTTTTTACCCATTTATGACAGAAGAAAGATATTATATTTGTATATAAAATTTCCACGGTGTATTTATATATTTACAATAATATGGGCAGTACTGTATGTTTTCAAAGGACTTCTACCAGAATTAATTAGATTCCATTTATAAAATATGATATGCTTTTAAACTTGGATTATGAAGCCCGTTAAGCAGATTATAGCATTCTGAAAAAAAATTAAACACTAAAGATCTAATTGTGTTATATATTCCTGATATGCCATTTGTATCTCCAACGTATTGGATTTCATTCTAAACAAAAGGAAGTTGATTTCCAGAGAACTTGTGTATTTGCCAGCATCATGGATAACAGGAGAACCTAGGATAAAACAGTAGTGTTTTAACTCCAGGATCAGTATGAGTTTTATTATATCGCACTATAATGAATAAACAGATTATGTGCATGTGAGTGTGTGTGTGTCTGAATTAACCAATTATTTCAACTGTACAAAAACTAATTCATTTATTAAATACTTATTAAACACTATTATATATCAGGTACACTTGGAAATAAAATTACATTTATGTCATCTTAAGAAAAAGTCTAAAGATTTCAACTGATTTCAATTTTGAAGCACAAATCCTATGGTTATTCATGAAAAAAATCCTAAAAATGGCTTCGTGTTTGTGTTAAAATATGCATAAGTAATAATAATGGTGAAGTACACTATAATAATTGAAATTAAATGCCTACAAATCAGAATGTTTCTCTATCCCAGAGAAATGAAGTGATTCAGTGGCTGGCCAAACTCAAGTACCAATTCAATCTTTACCCAGAAACATTTGCTCTGGCTAGCAGTCTTTTGGGCAGGTTTTTAGCTACTGTAAAGGCCCATCCAAAATACTTGAGTTGTATTGCAATCAGCTGTTTTTTCCTAGCTGCCAAGACTGTTGAGGAGAATGAGAAAATTCCAGTACTGAAGGTGTTGGCAGGAGACAGTTTCTGTGGATGTTCTTCAGCTGAAATTCTGAGGATGGAGAGGATTATTCTGGATAAGTTGAATTGGGATCTTCACACAGCTACACCATTGGATTTCCTTCACATTTTCCATGCCATTGCAGTGTCAACTAGGCCTCAGTTACTTTTCAGTTTGCCCAAACTGAGCCCCTCTCAACATTTGGCAGTCCTTACCAAGCAACTCCTTCACTGTATGGCCTGCAACCAACTTCTACAATTCAAAGAATCCATGCTTGCTCTGGCCATGGTTAGTTTGGAAACGGAGAAACTTATTCCTGATTGGCTTCCTCTTACAATTGAACTGCTTCAGAAAGCACAGATGGAGAGCTCCCAGCAGATCTACTGTCGGGAGCTTGTGGTGCATCACCTCTCTTTGCAGTCTTCCCTGCCTCTAAATTCCATTTATGTCTACCATCCCCTCAAGCACACCCTGGGTGACCTGTGACAAAGGAGTGTTCAGATTACATCCCTTCTCTGTCGCAGGTGCAGATTTAGATTTCTCCAAGGACAACAGCTAACCAGAAGTGCCAGTCAGAGGTGCGGCAGCCTTCTGCCATCAGCCCCCAGCTGCCCGTGGGTGCAAGCCTACCTCAGCTAAACGCGAAGTAGAGGAGATGGAAGTGGATGACTTCTATGATAGACTCAAACGGCTCTATAATGAAGATAATGCCTCAGAAAATGTGGGTTCTGTATGTGGCACTGATTTATCAAGGCAAGAGGGACATGCTTCCCCTTGTCCACCTTTGCAGCCAGTTTCTGTCATGTAGCTTCCAGTGTTACCTTCAAGTGCAAACTAAGGTAGACTACTCTGGGAAGGGGAACATGGGAAAACCAGGAAAGGTTATATACAGGTGTATACCTTAGCAGGCCAATTTGAGGTGAGCCAGAAAAAAAGTCCGTTTACTTGTGTGGCAAATTATAATCAATATTATTTAAGCACTTAAAGACCAAAAAAAGTGTGAAATTCAAAAGATCCAAACTTTTTTTTAAGTAAAAAAAAATCTGTAGTGTTTGTCAGTTCCACCCTTTTCTCTGCTAAAATGTAATGGAGATTGACCCATCTCAAAGATTCATATTCAGTTTTTTTTTTAAAGTTCCAAAATTCATAGCTGGCACACACTCTGTCTCCAGCATCCTGATTTAATTTTCCTCGTTTTTGCTTGCTTCTTTATTGACTACTTAATGAACTTTATGCATATGGATCTATAGCCTGACTTCCACTGATTTAGGAAACCCTCAAAATCATTTTTTAGCAATTTAGTGAATAAATTATTTCAGTGTGACAGCCATGTTTAATCCAGGATTCAAATTAATCTGAAAAGGGTACTTCAGAATTGCCCCATATGAATGAGAGGAGGTAATAGAAAAAGGACTGGCATTACCACATTGATTTTGTGTTTGTCTCACTTCAATTCTTGGAGGTTGGAAACAAAATTATTGTTTTCATTTTTGTTTATCTTAAATTGGAACTTAAAAATGGCATGTAATTAGGACACTCTTAGATTTGTTGAAAGCATTATTGACTTTTATATAAAAGAATTTGTGATAGATATATCCAGGTGCTCACCAAAGAAACATGTAACAACTAAGGTTTTGGGTTTTTTTGTTTTGTTTTTGGTAACTGATCAGTTTTTACTCATTTATAATCAGTAGGAGAGACTGTCTAGATGTTGGGGCATCTCTATGATTGGGGTCTGTAACGTGTAATAACTGAATTCAGTACCCTAGATTTATGTTAAGCTATTAGTATTTTCTTGATGAAAGTTATTCACTCTACCTGTATTTCTCTTAATGACCTCTGGATCCTGAGCTCCCTGTGCAGTCTGAAGACGGTATTGCAGTCAGAACCATGTACTGATGATAAAAGCCTCTAGTAGCAATAAAAGTTGTCCTTAAAAAAAAAAAAGAAAGAAAGAAAGAAATTCTGGGAAAAATAGGATAAAATATTTTATATAAATTATTTGTTTAGGTGTAAATTTAAGTACTAAATTTGGATATAAGGAAAAAAATACTTGAAAGACAAAATCTAAATTTTTAGTGCCAGTTGTTTGATTCGTGTGAAATAGGTAACTCTTTCTATTTCTTAAACATTTTATAACAGATTTTTTGAGGTATAATTAAGGAACATGTTAGTGTATACTCAAGAAAGCATTGTGGGTGCCTGGGTGGCTCAGTCAGTTAAGCGACTGCCTTCGGCTCAGGTCATGATCCTGGAGTCCTGGGATCGAGTCCCACATCGGGCTCCCGGCTCAGCGGGGAGTCTGCTTCTCCCTCTGACCCTCTTCCCTCTCGTGCTCTCTATCTCTCATTCTCTTTCTCTCAAATAAATAAATAAAATCTTAAAAAAAAAAAAGAAAGCATTGTAACCATTAAGGCAATGAACATACACACCATCACCCAATATTTCCGGTCAGAAAATGCAACAGAAATTATAGACAGCTTCATAATGGGGAACAACTTGAATAACAACACTTCAGTGTGAATGGGTATAAATATTAATGTGTGTATGATAAATATATATATCAATCTACTATATTGCAGGAGCTCTTTTTTATTTTATTTTTTTTTCCATTAACTCAGGTGGAAAATATTTGTTTTACTGGATTTTTTGAGGATTAAGTAAAAGAATGGAATTCATATTTCATCATCTATGTTGCTATAGTACTATAAATCTGAAGGTTTGGGGGTATGTGACATTTTGGAAGGAAAAAGAAAGGAAGGGAAAGAAAGAGTTGAAAAAAAAGAATGATAAAGAAGAGATTGTTTGCATGTTCATGTTTCCTGAAAGAATTGATTTACAGAATTCCCCTCTTTGGCAGTGGGCAGGAGAAGCTTGAGAGCAATGGCAAATCACATTACGTGTATTATTCAGCACTAGTCATTTAACCAGTTCTTTGAAATTTTTCTTTAAAATAGGAACTAAACTGTTGGCTTTTAATGCTTTCCACTCAGCAGGATGAATTCAGAAATAAGTGTTAAAAGAAGGTGCTAACCAAATTTAATAACCTATACTTAATAAATTTAATATGCTAGAGTCAGCAACCTTATCAAACAGAAATAAAGAAAAGGGTATATTAGCTCTGATTTGCCTGACTCACAATGATAACCATTCCTAGCAGAGTGATCATATATACAGAATATCTCTAAGTCATGTATATAAATTACTAGGGCTATGATCACATGTGTTCTTTATAGGCAATAGAGAACTCAGATATAATCTTGTGTTTTTATATAAGTTTTCTGTTGCTACTGTAACAAATTTCTATAAATTTAGTGTCTTAAAACAACACAAATTTATTGTCTTATAGTTCTGGATGTCAAAAGTCCAAATGGGTCTCACTGAGTGGGCTAAAATCAAGATTCAACAAGGAGGCACCAGAGGAGAATCCATTTCCTTGCTTTTTCTTACTTCCAGAGATTGCCCACATTCTTTGGCTCATGTTCCCTTCCTCTGTCTTCAAAGTCAGCAATGATGGGTCCAGTTTTTCTCATGATCCATCACTGACATTGGTTCCCTTTTCCACATTTAAGTACCCTTATGAACTTGCATGGATGATCCAGGATAATCTCCCTTTATTTTTTTATTTTTTTAAAGATTTATTTTTTTTAGAAAGAGAGTGTGTGTGTGTGCTTGTGTGCATGGGAGTTAGGGGAGGGAGAGAGAGAATCTTAAGCAGACTCCCCACTGAGCATAGAGCCCAATGTAGTGCTCTATCTCAGGACACTGAGATCATGACCTAAGCCAAAATCAAGAGTCGGACCCTTCACCAACTGAGCTACCCAGGTGCCCCAATCTCCTTACTTTGAAGCCAGCTGATTAGCAATTTGAATTCCATCTACTACCTTAATTCTCTTTTGTCATGTAATGTAACATATTCAAAGGTTCTGGTGATTAAGACATGAAATCTATCTTTCTTCCAATTACAGTTCTGTCTTCCTTTGTTGGTTCCACTGACTAACATATCCAACTTTGTTTTGATCCTGAGGGTCTCTTTTTGCAGAAAATGTAAATATACTGCAAAAGAGGTTTGAAAACAGGGTTATAATAAAACAGGGTTATAATAATCCCAGGAGTTGATAATAATCTAAATTTATGTTTTCTTTTCAGGGATGACAATGAAATACTTCTTGTATTTGGCTGCTGCTGTTGGTTTCCTGCCTATTTTGATTATAAGAGTATGTGAGGATTGTATGTTTCATAATTACTTTCCAGGAAAGGATAAGAGCTACCCCTGTAGAATTCATTTTGTTACAGACACTGTTGTGAGGACGCTATGCCAATTATTCACCTTGGTCTCACCATAGGCTCTAGTAGGCAAGTACTATTCTTAATTTCACATTGCAGGGAAAAGAACCAAAGCATAGGGAGGTGAAGTCATGTGGCCAATGTCAGATAACTGGGAAGTGGCAGACCCTGAAAGTAAATCTAACCAGTTTGGCTCCATGGGCTTATGCCAATTTCATTATAGCTCCTCAGGATAATTCAAAAAGCTGAGAATGTAGAGCAGGAATTACTTTTTTATAACATACCATGCATTCTCCATAACTAAATGGGAGAAAATATTGTTTGGACTTTTTTAACCCAGAAAAGCAAGTATTTTATCAATATCCCAATTGAACTATCTGATTTGTGACTATAACAAGAATTTAACACATCAAAATTAAATATAAAATGCAAGGTGTGAACAGCAAGAAGAGAAGTGTGAGGAACTGTAAGCAATGGAGTCAATATATGAGGCCTGCACCTCACTACTTGTTAAAGACAAGAACTTCAACAATCACAAAATAAAAACAAAACACTCAATGGTATAAGGAATAAGTCCTTAATATTTTATGGTTACCCAATAATATGAGCCTCTAAATAGCCTCAATGATATAAAAAAATTACAATTTTTAATGTACCCAAAATATATTTTTAAAGATTTTATTTATTTATTTGACAGAGAGGGAACACAAGCAGGGGGAGTGGCAGAGGGAGAGGGAGAAGCAGGTTCCCCGTGGAGCAGGGAGCCTGATACAGGGCTCCACCCCAGGACCCTGGGATCATGACCTGAGCCAAAGGCAGACACTTAATGACTGAGCCACCCAGATGCCCCATGTACCCAAAATATTTTTGTTATGAACTGAATTATAGAAAATGAATGATTTTTGTTTTTATGTGCTACATAGGAGAAATCAAAAATGGAAGGCATTTAATTTTATAAATGAAAGAAAATCAATACACACCAGACAATTGGGGTGCTGATTTAGGTCTCATCACTCACATCTCCTCCCCAAAGAGGAGCCAGGTAGAGCTCTCATCCAATACCCAATAATTCTCCAGTATGCTGGAAGTACAGTCTTAAAAAGAGTTCTCCTTCCTCCCCTTTGGTTCTCTTCCCACTTTATTCCCCCAGTGTGGAGGGGGGAACCTTCACACTTCACAGTAAGGAAAAGCTAAGCTGAATGAAGCATAGCCACCATCAGGGAGAAAGGAGAAAGACAGTGAGAAAGCAAATTTTGCCTTTAAGACCTGATCAGTACTAGGCTGGTCTAGGTCTCTTAGTCCATGTTCTAGGAGACAGCCTGGCCCAGGCTGCCATGGGAAAAAAGGAATCAGTATCACAGTTAAAAGTCCCAATGAAAAAGTAGGTAACAAGAACTCCTCCCAGTCAAGGGAACCAGAGCCTCATCTACTTACTGACCAAGAATACAAAGGAAAATTATGAAAGGACACTGATAAAACAACATGTATACATCCTATAGACAGATAATTACTGGAACATTTGCATGTAATTTTACAGAAAGTTTGCTCAGAAAATTAAGGCTTAAGAATTTTAACAGAAAACAACGTAAGACAAATTAAGCTCCAAACACAAATTCATTGCATAAAATTTAAACATGAATCCTAGTTAAAGGAAATAATAAACTGTTCCTATTTGTCCAATAAAAATAAAACAGTATGATATATTCTCTTTTTAGATTCCAGGTAGAAAGCAAATAGACTAACGACTAGGCCTGAATCTTATTTTAAACTCCCCTTCAATGTTAGAGTTTACTGAGCTACTAGGCATCTAATTGGACAGAAATCACTTTTTACTGACATACAGAATTTTCCATGAGAATCTAGTAGATGTTACACTAAAAGATCTTTGAAGGAAAAGTACAGGGAGTTGCGATCAGGTAATAACAGGATTTGATCTTGTCTGAGGTAATTAGAGACTTCTCTGGTAAGGAGGACATGACAGATCTGAGATCTGAAGGATAAACTGGAATCACTTGGTAGAACAAGCTGACAGAGTATACTAATGAAGAGACAGGCTTGGGCAAATATTCTAAGGCAGAATAAAAACAGGCTCATTGCAATGATTAAAAGAAAATCATTGAGACCAAAGAAGAGAAAAGTAGGGGAGCATATCTTAAAGAGAGGGTGAGAGGTCAGCAGGGACTTCACAGGACTCCATTGTGTCAGTGTTTTGAAATGTTTACTCTGGTGGATGACTGGAGAATGGATTGTGAAAGACTGGATTAGGGGAGTGGGAGGGGAGATATAGAGGTGATAGGGTGTTTTTGAAGGCTGTGAGGTCAGTAGGAGGCCAGGCCATAGCCATAGTCAGTCCAGGTGAAGAAAGAGAAGTCTGAGAGGTCAGAGAAAAACGAAGAGAATGTGTTGTCCCTTACACGGCAAGACTACTTCCACACTGAGAGTTTAGTCAGGGGAGTTAGCAGCCAATAGATCGAGTAGAATGAAGACACTAAAAAAATATTGAATTTACAAATTAAGCTTGTTAGTGACCTTTTTTTAAATTAAGATTATTTATTTATTTGACAGAGAGAGCACAAGCAGAGGGAGAGAGGGGGAGAAGCAGGCTCCCTGCTGAGCAAGGAGCCTGATGCAGGACTCGATTCCAGGGCCC